CTACCTTACATGTGTATAAAATGCTTGAGTTGACTGGAGAGATGGTTCAGTGGTTAAGACACTGGATGCTCTTGCAGAGGACCCGGGTTCCGTTCCCAGAACCCATATGGCAGCTAACAACCATCCTAACTCCAGTTTCAGGGGATCCAACACCCTCTTCTGACCTCTGCAGGCATTGCATGACACAGGTGCACTTACATAGATGCAAGCAATACCCTCATACACATAAAATAAAAATAAATAAAATACCTAAGTAAATAAAGACAAAACATACCACGTGATTTCATTTCTGTGTATATGTGGTGTATATATCTGTGTATATACACGTGTGCAAGAGGGTGCATGTGCATGTACGCACATGGGTGTGGAGGCCAGAAGTCGATATCTGGTATCTTCCTCAACTGCTCTGCACCTTATTTTTGTTTGTCTTCTTGTATATTTTTTAATTGTTTTTTCATATTTTATTTATTATTTTTATTTTATGTGTATGTATGTATTGCCCGTGTGTAGGTAAGTGCACCCGTGTCATGCAATGCCCGCAGAGGACAGAAGAAGCTGTTGGATCCCCTGGTACTGGAGTTACGGACAGGTGTTAGCTGCCATGTGGGTGCTGGGATTCGAACCTGGGTCTTCCGCAAGAACAACCAGTGTTCCCAACCGCTGAGCCATCTCTCTAGCCCCTTGTATATTTTTTTTATTGAATTTTTCTGCATTCCATACAAAACATCTCAATCATCTTTATACACCTTCCTCCATCTGCACCCTTCCATAACCCTCCCCCGCCTCCAGATTTCATGCATTCTTTATGTCATCTATACCAAGATCCATCGAGTCAACTGAGTATAACCATACATCCCTCAGTGCAAGTTTATCCACCGGGGTCTAGTCAGCCTAACTAGAGCCTCTCCGTCAAAGAAGATCAACTCTCCCTCAATCAGCAGTAATCAGTTGTCAATAACTCCTTGGTTAATGTTGGACCCTGCTGCCCATTTCCCCAGCTCTACAGTGGGTTTTTGTCAGCTTGAGTTTGCATGGGTCTTGAGTCTTTGTCTGGTTTTGAGACAAGGTCTCTTTCTGAATCTGGAATTCACTGACTGGCTAGGAGGGCTAGCCAGTGAGCCCAAGGGAATCCCCTGTCTGTGCCTCCCAGTATACCACTGTACCTGTCTTTTATAGGGTACTGGGATATGAACTCAGGAACTCATGCCTACAGAGAAAACACTCTTACCCACTGAGCCATCTCCCAACCCCTTAATACATAGTTCTGGATTGTAGATATACAATTGTCACAATATAGGCTCCACAAAGAAAGGAAATACTAAACAGCTAGGGTTCTGCTTTGCCATCACCTTCATTTTAGGAATATGCTTTACATAGGACCCAATGCCATACAATTTACAACTAATAAAGAAATGGAGATGTATGCCTGATTTTAAAATTCTGTATTTTATAAGAAATACCTTCCAAATAACAAACAAACCAGACATGTTTCCTAGGTTACAAGTCCATTAATTCCTAGGTTTTAATATGTTTTAACTTTTTTAAAGATTTATTGTTATCTTCTATGCATGAGAGTTGAACTGCATATAAGCATACCATATGCATACCTGATACCTGCAGAGCCCAGAAGAGGGCATCATACTCTCTGTACCTAGAGTTAAAAACAGTTGTGAGCTACCATGTAGGTGCCAGAAACTGAACCTGAGTCTTCTACAAGAATAGCAAAAGTAGTCTTAACTGCTGAGCCATCTCTCTAGCCCCATACGTTGCCATTTTAAAAGTCTAATCTTCTGAGCCAGGCAGAGTGGCGCATGTCTTTAATCCCAGCACTCAGGAGGTAGAGGCAGGCGGATGAGTTCGAGGTCAGCTATGGCTACAGGGAGACCCTATCAAAAAGGCCAAAAATAAAATAAAATATAACAAATATTTTTAAAGTCTAATCTTTTAAGATTTTGTATCACTGAATACTTTAGATGAAGGATTTTTTAATTTAAACAAAATTAAAGACGACCTGTTGGCAAGTGTGAAGCAAAGAAGCAGAGAAGGGATGAGTGTGTCCCTGGGGGAGTGACTCGTTGACAAGGCCTGGATTCATGCTTACTTTTTCAAAATTACACTACTAGATTGTATCCTATATAAAGACGTTTTTCCTTATCAAGGCTAAGAAGGCAAAAGTAATGCAAACAAAATTCTACTTGAATGAATACAGCTCAAGTTATCTACACTAGTTCTATTGGCCAACTGATCTTTATTCTCCTTTTTGATACACAGGCTACAAACCCTGTTTGAATGTGAAATCCTTAATTGAAAAAGCTACTGGGATACTTTATTTTCAAAAAAATGTGCCACTGTATAGTACTTGTAGCTAAAAACATATGCAATTTCATTTACCATTTTTACTGAAATTGGGTAAGCTTTCCAAATGTATTCTGTAGTATCTAAAAGCTGATGGTAAAGGAGTGTTTAAACTATGGAGGATGAGAACAGGGATGAACAGAGACCATGGGGAACACTCAAAATCTAAAGTTAACCAACATTAAATCATGGTGAAGAGAAATCTTGAACCCAAACTTCTTGTCCATATACAGAGCCAACTCAAGGTCAGTTAAAAGAAACAGAAAGTGACCTGAAGTTGCTATATACCACATCACAGCTGTTAAAGGTATACATAGTAGACGTGCTTTTTTTTCAAAGCAGCACAAAGACTATGTGAGTAACCAATCTTTCTGACTGGATTTGAGGCCTGCTCCACAGGAGGGAATTCATGTCTGGTACTGTAAACTGACAGTCAAAAGCCCAGAGCTGGGGAGGTCCTAAGGGGAGACCTACTATTTTGTCCTCCTAAGTAGACATGTTGTCAAACTGCCTTCTAAACATTTATGTTTATACAGGTGGATGAGTGCTGCCCTCAGTGTAGCCAGAGAAGCTTCTCTCTGCAGTGGTTAGCAGATAACAAAGGCACTCATAACCGGCCAAAGTGCTGACGGGATGTTAGGGAAACAGCACTTCACCTCTGGGGTCTTCCTCCCCAAACCTATAACCCAAGGAGGAAAAGAAAAAAATCAGATACTCTACTTAAGACCTGACCAGTGTAAAATGACAGTGACTGGACTCAAGAGAAGTCTGAGCAACTGTCACAGCTGAGAAGCACGAAGGGGACAGAATTTCCACATGTACTATGATAAAAATGGAACCTGGGAAAAAGAACAGTGGAGAAAACCTGAAGGTATCAGGATAAAATATGGACTTTAATAATAATACATCAGTATTGGTTCATTACATGTAACATACATACCATAAAGATTATGTAAGATATTAAGAGCACAAGAAACTAGATGTGACCTATATGGGAACTCTGTACTAATATTTGCAATTTTTCTTTAAACTGATCTAAAATTAAGTTAACCTGACAAGAACAATAACTTCTAACATTTTATGTACAGACTAACATTCTAGTCCTCATTGTGTCCAAAAGTAAACCAGTCACTTCTTATCTAAACAAATATGGTGTCCGAAGAAAATGAAGATGGTCTATAGACAGAGATGCTGACAGTGGAGGTAAATTATGTTTTACCTAATAAACTGTATTTTCAACCAATTCTGTTTTTAATTAGTAACATCTGACCACAAGTAGGCCAAACAGTTGGAAATTATTAAAGTTATGGGCTCTAGTAGATTATTAATCTAACAGACAAAAGCTAGATAAGTAAAATATGTATTTTTCAGTAATAATAAGTTAAGAAAAAGAATAATGCATTTATACCCACTATTATTACCACTGAACCCTGCCCTAAATACATGCCATTCTTTAAGATAACAGCAAAAGATCTCAGGAAACCATTATTTAGTGTAACATGCACAGATTATGAAAATAAGCCTTGGGCTAGAGGGATGGCTTTATTAAATCTAGTGTTTTATGAAATTTCACACAATATAATGACAAATATTTTAGAAAACTTTACAGATATTTCTAATCTGTCTTCACGGATTTGTTGGAAATGAAAACATATATTCTCAAAAACAGCAAAGGACTTCATTACTGAAAACACTCAAATTCTCTACCATGTGATAAAAGACAAACCAAACCAGGAAGGACACAGACACTGTGTCTGCCAGCACTTGAACCTGGACTTCGCATCTTACAGAACCGTGAAAACGTTTCCTGTTTAAAAAGAGAACTCTGAAGTACAGGACTAATACCATACACGAAATGCATTTTCTTCATCACTCAGAGGCAAGTGGCTGTAGAAAAGCAGAAGAATCCCCACGTCTTCAGTGCTACAGTGTGTGTCTGACACTGTGGCTGATTTCATAGAAATAAAACGATAGATGCAGGAATACTTACAAAAGATAATGAGATGCATAGGGACAATCAATCACGTAGTGCTTATGTGACAGATACTAGAATTTACTGGCTATGAAATTAACTATGAGACTTTGCACACATTACCTAATCTCGGGTTAGTACTGTCTGTGGAATAGTGACAGAATTCTAGGCATGTTATTCGAGAGCACTTAAGTCCAGCACTTACACATTAGCTATTACTGGCCGATATTATGAAAGTCATCATGAAAATCTTTCATATCATAAAAAAAAAAATTATCTCTAGGCAAAGAACTTAAAAGTATCAACTTGCTGGGCATGGTAGCCCACACCTGTAATCCCAGCAGAAGCAGACGATCTCTGTGAGTTGGAGGCCAGCCTGGTTTACACAGCAAGTTTCAGGCCAGCTGGGGCTGCGGGGAAAGCCTGTCTCAAAACGACGAAAAAACAAAACAAAACAAAACAAAACAAACAAAAAAAATCAACTTTAGGAACAAATCATACATGGTTCCTTTAGTAAGTAAGCATTCAAATTTGTTAGCTGATCTGGGATACTTTACATAAAGGTAAATCTCTGACAGTGCTCCTTATCGACATCACCTTCTTAATCAGTTAATGTTGGTTGCAAATACCTAACAGAAAGCATTCCATCAGTAATTCAAAGTCACATACATACCCTCAAATCAGGAGAAAAGTTGTCTGCAGAAGTTGAGATGGAATCTGAAGATACAGCGGACGCTGACTTTGTATGCACCGAATTCTCAGAATGAGAAGTGGAGGCACTGCAAAATATGAAAAGTGTGTTTAGAAAATGGGGTCTTCATAGTAAGGGGTATGTTCTCCCTCATATGTGGATCCTAGCACCAAATCCTGGTAAGGGAGTATGTATCCAGACATAACTACAGGAACCAGGATAATGGAAAGGAACCAGGGAGGTTAAGGAAAAGAAAGAACCTGAAAGAGAAGAACAGTAGGAATCAGACCTTAATAAGGGAGATACGGATAAAAATTGGGTTAGTTTAAGGGAGGGGGGAGGGAAGGGTATACAAGGAACCTAGGGAATAAAGGGAAAGAAGGAGCTCAAGAGAGGTAGGACCATAGGAGAAGGGTATTAGTAAGGGAGAAAGCGGGAAAATGGGGGCACCTTAAAGGGGGAGACCATAGTGGAAGGGTTAGACAACGTGAGAGACAAATAATGCCTAGTTTTGTTTTGTTTTGTTTTTTTAAAAAAAAAAGAGGGAACCATATTCGTCCAACAAACTACTGACAAATTATACATACAACTATATCAAATAATATATGTCTAGGAAAGGTTTATCTGAGAACATTTGGTCTTTGCTCAAACTTTATCTACATGGCACATGGTAATTAAAAGTACTAGACTGGTAGAACTAACCTTCTTGGATGTTTAACAGCATACTTTGAAGACTATACTAATTTGGTCAGAGGGACATAAAGGACAGTTTTTGCTCCTTGCCCTCCTAGGTCGACTAGTTCCAGGGGACTATGAGCATCTCTCAAAATGTCCTGTAACTGTGGTGAGCCACCCATCCTCTTGATCAAGGAGGCCATGGAGACCCCACTAGTTGGACTTGAACCAGTGCCCAGTCTACAAAGAGGAGGGTCAACACATAGGAATCATTTCTTCCAAGCTTCCAAGTGAAGCCAGCCATGGTCAAGCAGGACCTTTGACTTATCTTCACATAGATGGAACTGGTAAAGAAAGAAGCCAGGGGCTCCTCCCAAGCCCATATGATCCCTGAGGAACAGACACTCAAATGGCCTCAAGAGTAAAAATAAATTGGTTTCTCAGGGCCAACTGTATGGTCTTAAACACCCAAAAGGAAAGTATAACCAAAGATTAAAGGGGTCAATATAGTTTTTAAGAGTCCATATTTATAGCTAAAGGCTACATAACAAGCAACAATGCCAGACAGGCGATACCTTCTTTTGCGTTGTTGGCCAGGGTGGCCAAAGGGACTCCCAGATAGTAACCCAGCATAGAACTGGGAAAGTGAACAGCAGACCCCAATCTTATATAAAGAAATACTGACAACTGATTGCTGCTAGATGAGGAACAGCCGATCTTCCTAAAACAAGGCTCTCTAGATAGGCTGACTAGATTCAGTGGATGGACAAGAACTGGGGAATGGCTGGGGGCACCGACAACACAGTGGACAGTAACAGGGATGACAGAGTATATGGGCTTCAGTGGGAAGGTGGGGGTGAGGCTATAGGAGGGTGCCATTTGGGAAGCGGGTGTATAGACGAATAAGATTGTTTGGGATGTTCTGTATGATATACACACAAAAAAAAAAATCAAATTTTTTTAAAATGACATATTTGAGGAGGAAGCATAAAAATTTACTTCATGTTAATTAGTAGAGGTGATAAGCATTACCACTGAAATCTACTCAGGTGCCAAGAATCCGGTGTAACCAACTGTGCCTAGTAATAACCAGATACACAGAGATTAGCGTCGCATGCAAACATCTAAGTGTTAGTAGCATTAAAAATGAGTCTTTCTGTAGGTAACAGCATATTTTAAAATGAAATGGAGATCTTTTTTAAAGGTTAAAACCTCATTCAATTTTATGTCATAGGGTTTCTACTGAGTTCAATATTGTGTAACTGTATTAATTCAACTGTGAACCTAAAAATTTACAGCCACTTTTGAAAGAGATGTATCTTTGCTCTGGAAATTGTTATTGAATGTTTTATATAGGAGGTAGGAATTGGCTAGGCAGTTAGGGTAAAAACACCCCAAAGAAAAGTAGCCAGTTTCTAAAATGTCTTTGGGCCTCTTAGCAACATACTCTATTCCAAAGGCCAAAAATATCAAAAGTATTTGGGAGCTTTTACTTATCCCTAAAAGATTTTAGGGTTACCTCTCCAGAGGGGGGGAATGTGAGAGTAGCAAAAAGCCCCATTATAAAAAATAATGAAAGAAAGAAAGAAAGAAAGAAAGAAAGAAAGAAAGAAAGAAAGAAAGGAAGATAGTTGTCAGAAAAAAGTAATGGGGAGATATGGGAGGAGTTGGAAAGGAGGGAGTGGGCGTGGATTTGATCAAAACATATGCATGTATGAAAGTCTCAATAAAATTTTTTATTTGAAAAAAAGAATTTAGGTCCATTCTCTCAGCCCTAAGAGACTGGCAGACAACACAGCACCCACTGCCCAGGTTCATTGGCTTTTCCTCACATTCGATTATCCTCTGGGTGTTTATAATGAAAAGTAAGCGCATATGGAATTTGGATCAGCTTGGGATGTAATTCGAGCCTGATTACATGCTTGAACTTACAAGTAACTTCACCTCTGTGAACTTTAAGTTTTTCATCTGTAAATGAGTTTAATGCTAACCTCATAAAGTTGTTGTGGATATTAAGACAATGTATTTCACGAGAATAACTGATGTTCAATAAATATTATTTTCTTGAAAGAAGAAAGGAAAGGGAGGGAGGGAGGAAGGGAGGAAGGGAGGAAGGGAGGAAGGAAGGGAGGAAGGAAGGAAGGAAGGAAGGAAGGAAGGAAGGAAGGAAGGAAGGAGAAAGAAAAGAAACTACCAGGCCAATAAAGCAGTAAGGGTATTATAAAGACAAGCTCGTGCAGTTTATGTTAACCATACAAAACAACTAAGACTTAAAACATTATTTCAGCACATCTTTCTTTTTAGTGTCTTAACAATGGGTTGGTTCACATTCTACACTAATGAGTGATTTTTGGCTAAGAATACAGCTTGGAGTTTTCGCAAAGGAAAAAAAAAAAAAGCCACACAGTTTCAATTATGTTGTCCCTGGTATGAACCTGTCTGGTTCAATAAACAAACTGAACATTGAGTGCTGTCTTCCCACTGGCTTGGTGGTTTGTTGAAGACAACCAAAGCAGGGATGAATGAGAGCTTCCTTCAAAAGGTGCAGTATGCAGTCCAGGTTTGCTTGGCCTGACTTTAATGCTGGTTAGTACAGTGCTACTAAAATTTTGCTCTGTTAACTTTCTTTTTTGAAACTATTCACATGCTATTCAGATCATCCTTACTTCAGCAAAGGTATAGGAGAGCCTTTGAATTTTTGAGGGAGGGCGGATAAAAACCTATCACATACAATGTACTGTATCAAACTGTTTTACATGAATGACACAACTATTCTAAATTGTAAAAAATCTAAGCACTGTTAAAAAAAAAACAAGGAGTTAACTAACAAATTTATTTTTCATAAAGTACTACAAAGATGTGGCAATATCCAAGGGCACCATGAAACTAAGAAACTACACGGTTCCACAAAGTTAGCTGTGTAGAGAGCAGACGAGGGTGTCCAGACAGGGTGTCTGAGCCGCGGGCCTTCCCATCCCCTTCCACTCTATATTCTGACCAAGCCTGGCCTAAGCGCCACTATCTCCACCACACCCAGCAGTGTACTTTTTCTACTTTTTGTTTACTGATGTCAAAAACATATACATTTTGTCTCACTAAGTTTTAAGTAACAAGGCGAAAAATTATGTCTTTATGTTTTTATTTTCCATGAAGTCTACTTTAATGTAAAACTTTAAATTAAAAATATTTTTAAAAGATGAACGATACAGACACTTTACAGGTTTAAACATAGATTATAAGTATACATACATATGTGTGTATACATACATGTACACACATATATATACATATATTTACACACACTCTGTCTCTGTCTCTCTCTCTCTCTCTCTCTCTCTCTCTCTCTCTCACACACACACACACACACACACACACACACACACTATGAGGCCTACCATGGCCTCAAATGTGCAATTCTCCTGCCTCACCCTCCCAAGTGCTGGGATTACAGGTATACGCCACCACACTTGATTTAAAATATCTGTACTTTCAAAGCTTCATTCCCAACATATTAAATATTTTCCTTACATAAAAAAAAGTCTACACTTGTTCAATGTATTTTCTTGGAATGCTTCCCATCTTGGGGCTGTGATAAGAGACAAATTTACTTGTAACAAAATTCAGAGGGTCATAAATTATATTATCTGGGTTTACAATGTAAGAAAAGAAAAACTGGTGGGCTGAAAATGTTTCCTTTGCCTGTAGCTAAGTTCTGATTAATTTAAATGCTAGTTTCATTAACAGGTGTTCGAACTAGAACAGAGACACTTTTCCTCCCTCATCTTGTACTGAGCTCAGTAAGACAGACTTCGGTCAGATCCCTAATAGCAAAGTCATTGAGACTGAACAGGAAGTCTTCATTTTTTGTTTGTTTGTAGCCTGGCAGCCCTGGATGGCCTGGAGGTCACAGAGATCCAACTGCCTCTGCCTCCTAAGTGCTGAGACTGAGGGTGTGGGCCACCACTGGAAGTCATTTCTTACTGAAGGCAAGCATGAACTGCATGCACGCAGAGCAGTCCTTAATCCGCGTCCCCTTTCTCCTTCCTGAAGTGAAATGTGAAGCTGGGAAATACAGTGGTCATTCTGTTACACAGGTGACAAGGTACAGAGCACAGAGAGCACAACAGGATAGAGCAGGTCTCCTGAGGGCCTTAGAACCCTGAGAGCTGCAGCCATGCCCATAGCTCAGCCTCTGCAATTCAGGTCACACAGAACAAATGAGCTGTTTCCTGTTCTATAGAAGCAAAGAAGATTCTGACTGATGCAGCAATCAACATCTCAAAGTCTCTTCTGAGAACTTCGGGGAGAACAGGGCAAAAAAAGAAAATGAAGTGTAACTGGAAGTTACAGGTAGTGCATTTTCTAGAAAAACATTGATAGAACGATGTAGCATCAGGACATCAGGTGATTCTTAAGAACCAAAGTGAAAACCAACTACAAGAACAAAATAAACAAAACCAGATTCTATAATAGTTTGCCTTTGACTATTAAGTTCTCTTTTCAGACGTGCACAGCCATGGGTCAGCATGCTTCACAGCATTGTAACTGAAGAAGTGTTAATTATATTTCAATATAAACAATCTACAAAAGGATCTAAATTCCAGGCAAACAATGAAGAACTGGAAGGTGGGTGGGGTATATCACAGTACTCTCCACGTGACTACGTCCCACATGCCATGTCATCTCACACACACACAAACACACACACACACAGAGGACTGTTGAAAATTCCATGTCAATAGCTCCCCCACCCTCAACTGAATTAAACACCAATCTCGTAACATTTTCATAGACGCTGTAACTGCTCTTAGCAATTTCCACATGACAGTGGAGAGCCTGAGTTGCATAGCCTCCCTTTCACATTATAAACTGCTGGAGAGTAAAAACTTTGAGACTGCCACTTGATCTCAGCAAAGTCTGCTAACCCCATTAATCAACCAATACCATTTTGGTCCTCAGGTTTCTTGACCACAAATTTCTTTACAGTCAATTTACACACTCCTGTTATCCTTGCTGTCCTGAACTTGTCCTTCTAGTCAACTCTTGTCACATGTGTTTGCTACCATATTACTCTCTCTATCCAAGACTTCCCCAACAACTCACTCCCTTTACTCCAGTGGATAAGATCCCTGGCATCTGGCTTCTTCAATGAATCTCAAATCTGCCACTCTGCCTCAGCTGACATCTCCGAGAAATTCACTTCCCTACACCCTTTAATTGGGTGGTTCCTTTCTTTTTCCCTGTCTAACAAAACCCAAAAGTGAGGCCACCATTTTCCAGGCCAATTCTCAGGCTTCTGTACTAGCACTACTTCCCATCTTCGTGTATAAAAGCCTCCCTCAGAAGTAGATGGCTTCAGTGTACACCTGTCCCCACCCTTCTTGTCAGTCCTGCCTCACTGCGGGCTTTCTCACCTGCCTCCAAGGCCTTCCTTCTCTATTTCTACTCCAAAGCTGCTTCTCTGTGGTAATTTTAACTGTCCACAAGAATGAACTAGTAACTCCTATATTGCTTACCCACATTCCTGAACCTTATCAATTCTGGGAAATCAATTTCTCACCACAAATGTTCTTCTTTACCCTTCAACTAGTCTTCAGCCCCCCCCCCCAGACACATGCCCCTCAACACCTCCATTTTTCCTTAGCCTTCATGACCCGTTGCTGTCCTTGCTCACCTCATTCCCCTTCCTAGCCAACCTCAACTCAAGAGTGGAAAATTTTCTATTTTGTCTTGGTAAACACTCAGACCGTCTATCTTTATCCACTGGCCACAAGGGCTCTGCTAATCCATGTCTTTTATACTTCCATAGATTTACTAAAGCTTGGCTATCGGTGAAGGATATCTTGAAATTGAGTCTACTTAAAGACTCATTAGCTAGGCCCAAGGCAGGGCCCAAAGAGACCCCCACTTCCCAAGTGATTTCTAAAAACTACAACCATCTTTTCTCTATACCAATTATACCTAATTACTCCAAAGTCCCATAGATCCTACCTCCGTATCATCTGGGTATGCACTTGTATGAGGTGTTCTTGTAGTCTTAATTCAACACCTCATTCCTAGACCTCTGAAAATTACTTGTCTATTTCCTGTTCAGCCAACAGAACATTCTAAGCCAACATCAAAATGACCTTTCAAAACCAAAGATCTACTAATTATACCCTGTGTTTAAGCCTTCGCTAACTCCTCACTGCCTACAGAAGCAAGCCCAGACTCCTCAGCACAACACCCCAGTGCCCCGTCTGGCCTTTCTTCTCCATGCCTAGCTGTAATATTTATAATCTGGAGTCCCTGGGAATGGTTCCCTGAGTTCTCCAGCCACTTCTGCCCAGTACTGCTGATGCCCTGCTGTCCTGCCTGTCCTGAGCATCATACTCTTCCATGCTCTCTTCATCTCAACTACTCTGAACACGGAATAACTTTTGCTCTGCTGTACATCACATACATTTCTACCAGAATACCCCAACATTTTACTGCATTTACTATAGTGCTTTCCCTTACACATTTTTTGTTGTTTACTATTCTCAGATTCTGCCTTTATTACTTCCCAGCTTCTCAGTAAAACTTCTCATAATAAAACATGTAAGTGCTCAAAAACACCTGGTTCCTACAAGGTATTATTTATAACATATTACTCTTCCAAACCATATTAGCTGCACAAATGAAATTACAATGGCAAAAGTTGGACCAGGTTAAAAGTATTAGAAAATGAATTTTCTAACAGAAGAGAAGACGATTTGGATACTAAATTAAAAGATAACACGGCACAGAAAGTTAGGGTCTGGTTCTTTGGACCAATGACAAGAGACAGGCAGGTCTGCCTGCTGGAGTGACTGTAAGCTCTAGTTTGAATTAGGCAGAATCAAGTCATTACATGATATGATGGATCCCAGGTGCCTCCAGCTTCCCCTTGTGTACCTATCTCCCTTTGTTCTCCCCAATCCGACAACATGGGCTTTTGCTGAGATCTTTAAATAACACGGCCTTCTTCAGGGAGCATGGCACTGCCAAGTACCCTCTTGATTTCAGCTCTCAACAGAAACATCACCTCCTCTGGAACCCCACCGAATGTGGTACCCCCAGTAGCCACGTCATAGCACCCCTGCTTTTCTGTTCTTACATATCTTGTCAAATGTTTGATAACTGTCATATTCCCTAAGACTTTAAATTTCAAGGACAAAAGGGACGTTGATAACAAAAAGTATTAGCTGCCCACATGCTACTCCTAGAACCTCATATGGTGCCTGGCATAGAACATTCACAAAGTACTTGATGAATAAATTAGTAAATGAAAGAATAAAAATGATCAAAAGATTGGGTAATTCTAATCAAACTCCTATGATGAGGACACACAATATAAAATGAAACTTGGCAGAGGGCTTAGGACAAAACATGAGTAGGGGAAGGGAAGGTTTTTGAGGGGGGGGTTATATACCACATACATCAAGTACTCCACACCCAGAAAAAGGCTGAGAGAGAGAGAGAGAGAGAGAGAGAGAGAGAGAGAGAAGAGAGAGAGAGAGAGAGAGAGAGAGAGAGAGAGAGAGAGAGAGAGAGAGAGAGAGAGAGAGAGAGAGAGAGAGAGAGAGAGAGAGAGAGGAGAGAGAGATTTATATACCACATATCAAGTGCTCCACACCCACAAAAAGGCTTTTTAGAATACTGAGGCAAACATTTCCTTTAACATTAGTCTTGAAGAAAAAGACAAGCAATTCTTAAACAACTAGTGGGAACTAGTTGACTGTGCTATTCTCAATGGGGTGGCTAAAGGTAAAGTATTTGAGAACTAGGCAACCAAGTTCTTACCTAAGAGCAGTACCTTTGGTAAACCCATAAGCCCAGGTCCTGATTGCACTACGAAAAGAAGCAGGAGACTCTGTTAGTGAGTCTTAACTTTTTGGTGGCCCTAACACCTTTGAAGAATCTTATGAAAGCAATCATCTAAACTGCTTACAGTGTTGGGGAGTTTAACGTCAGGGACTTTACCATGTTAAAGGACAAGATGTAAACACAGTGTCAGGTACCTTAAGGTTCAGAGTCTTGGCCTGGACTTTTTAGTGCGAATGTAGTCTAGGGTTTCTAAAACGTTCAGAGCAGCACACCTTTTCTAACATCCCATGATAGCCACATGAAAACTGAACAGCTAGCTAAGACGTTTATGTATAGAAAGTAAAATGGCCTCCTTTTAAATATTTCAATTTTGTTATCACACTTAGTCCTCAATATCAATACACACAGAATAAACAAAATTAGTCCAATACCATGGGGTTTTTAGCACTCAAGTTTTTAAGAGAAAGTGCATGTATGAGAGTTAACCGGTACGTTTTTTAGGAGCTCTGGGTTACCACCACGTATACTTAGGACCTTTGCTTAAGACAAACAAAAATGATGTCGTATCAAGAAATACAAGCCACAATTTCTTTACATATTCTCATCTTTATATTAATTGATGTTATCAGCAGCTATAACTACTTTCTAAAATGTATCTGAGAAATATTCAAATCTAGTCAAGTAATAATTCCACTTCAAACATATACCTCATTCAAAAATATACCTCATTCTAAATTATATCTTCAATAATTCAGAGGAGAGAAACTCCCTAAAGGCACAGCCACAGCTGGCTCACTCATTCTTCCCTCTACATAATCAGGCAAATCTAGAACAGGAGCATGAACTCAACTGACCCTGAAACATCAGCCTTGCCAGTGCCCAACAGGGTTCTGTGATTCGCATGCTTCCTGTACCCTTGTAGCCTCAGTGGTTTGGAGCTGGTTACTGGCTTTGGTGGCATGACTCATTTGGAGTGCTTCTCTGCCAAGGTGCAAAATGGAAACGCATGACCTAGAGTAACCATAGTACTTGCATTTCTGAAAACACATTCATTTCTCTTTCAAACACATATGTGTTTTTAGCTTCATGAATCTATTCCCAGGCCTGCAACCATACTTCATTGCTCCAAGTTCAGTCACCCTCTGCATCTCAGCAACCTGTCTACCCGTCTCCATTTTTTGCAGCATACACTCATTCCCTTAGCCCCTTGAAATTTAAGTCAATATATTCAGTTCTCAAGGTAAGAGAACCCACTGGAAATTTCTATGCTTTATGAAGACTGAAGAGTAAGTCAAAGGATAGACCATAAGAGTGGAAAAACCTGTTGAGGGACTAATAGGAGCCTCCTCAGGACAGAGGGGTAAAATTTAATAGCCATAAGGCATGATGGGGCCAGAGTTGGTAGAACTTAGCACTGCCTTGGTATGACAAGCAAGAGAGAGGGAGGAGTCAAAATAGGATTCCAAATCTTCTGATTGAGAAAGTACTGTTCCAATTACAGAGCAAGAAAGAAAACTGGGTTCGTGCAGAGCTCATGAATTTATCTTGGAACTTTGCAGACTGAGCTGACGGCAAGGCAGCCAACAGCAATGTGTATACTACCATGCGAAGGAGCAGGCTGGGGACTTCAGAGCTCACCCATCATACATCTGTTCATCCTTTCGTTTATTCATTTACTCAGACAATGCTAATTTACTAATTACTTTATGTTGGATACATATACTGCAAAGAGCTATGTGACACAGTATTAGCTGTGCTCCCAAATAACACGCAAGGGCAAGGCAGCTTCCTATCTATGACTCTCACTGTATGAAGGCTCCAAGAGTGATTTCTGGGGGAACTCTAGCAGCACAGAGGAGGGAGGGGTTAAGTGTGACTGAGAAAGGTGCAGTCGGTCCTGAAAGGTGCCGGACTGTGGACACTGATCTATGCATAGGATTCAGTGGCAAATTAGAAGGAAAGCATTCCTGACATGCAAATCATGCAGAAAAACCTACATGACGAGATTTAATAAAGCATGGCAGTGGCGAGAAAGGTTGAGGCTACGGTTCTAGGAAAAACATCGGCTGCTACAACAGAGTTCAGAATGTAATCTGTAGACCATCATCAGTTTTTCTCGGCAGAAGTTCAAAGAAAGACACATATGCAGAGAGATTCTGCTAAGTGTTTAGAACTTAAGCTGGGTAAAATGCTCCAAGAACTTGAGTTTATTTATTAGGTAGTTAGATTACTTAATAGACAACACAAATAGGCCATATTATGACATAGGACATACAGAAAATGGCAGGTTTGAATGGGGTGTGGTATATAAAGATATAAAATGTTGATGTCACTGATCTTGAGATTCTTACAAAACTGTTCAAGTTGATACATCCACTAAATAAACAGAAATACAGCTTTGGCTTCCTGGAGAGATTACAGCTTGGTAATAACTATATCAAATCCACAAACTTGTACTGATAGTCCAAGAAGTAAACAAAGGATCTGAGATATAGTGGCTGGAACTGTAGCTCGTGGCATAAGGACTAAAAGTAGAAATGTTAAAAAAAAAAAAAAAAAAAGATTCCAAGCACCCACACAGCAGCTAGCAACCATCCATAACTCCAGTCCCAGGAGAATCCAACACCCTCTTCTGACCTCTGTGGTACTACATGACACGGGTGCACTTACATACATCCAGGCAATATACTCATACACATAAAACTAATACATAAAAAGTATTTTTAAAAAATCAGAGACAGGGGGCTGGTGAGATAGCTCAGTGGTTAAGAGCACTGACTGCTCTTGCAGAGAACCTGGGTTCGATTCCCAGCACCCACATGGCGGCTATGAACCGTCCTTAACTCCAGTTCCAGGGGAATCCAGAGCCCTCTTCTGACCTCCACAGCATTGTACAACATGGGTGCACTCACATACATGCAGGCAATACACTCATACACATAAAATAAAATAAATGTTTAAAAAAAATCAGAGACAGAAAAATCAGTTTAGTGAAAGTCAAAAAGAGTATTTCAAAATAAGTAGATAATTGTAGCTAACACGACAGAGCAGTGAAGGAAAATAAGAGAAACATTCACTGGACTTACTAATGAAAGATGTTACATCAATTACTCTACCATCACGGTGCCTGTTGTCTTAGAAACAACAAGCTAATAGAAATGGCAGCACTGAGATGCCAAGGAGGGTTGGCCACAGTGTCCTGCCCATCCACACCCCAGGTCTCCCTACATCCAAACCTACTCTTCCTTCCCACCTCAGCTCATGGAACATTTTTTCTCTGACTCACAGTCAATCTTCCTCCCATGCTCCTCAACCTGCCTGCTCCAAGCTCCTCTGAAGGCTGGAGATGCAAGTATAAACTCTTACAACACTGGTCACTTAGAAGGAACTCAAGAATGATCATTAATCACACTCAGACTGAACTACTCTAGGATACTGCTTTCTGGATGTCCTTCAGAACCTAAGAAATAATCTACAAGTCTAGGTTGTCTCAGTTCTCACCCTCCCTAACTCTGAGAAACTGACCAACTGTCAAAGCCTCCTTACCAGAATTCTTTTCTATCTAGTTTTGTGTTGTCGTTAAAATTTACTGGCTTTCTTCTTTTACAATCTTCCGCTAGGTGCTTTTCTTCCAGTCATCCCCTAAATAGAGATTACCTGGAAAGCTGTGGCCTTACCTTGGTTCTCTGAATTCACTTTCTTTCTGCAATGCTATAGATTCCTTCAACTTCATTTACTCCCTCTGTGCAAATGATTTCCAAATGTGTGCCTCAGTCCCTACTGGCAAACTCTACTGTCTGGCATCAGCCTCTCTCTAGTTTTACTTCTCACCTAATGCTCCCTATGTCATATGTAATAAGACTAAACTGTACAAAAGGGAGCGTTACACTAACAATTGTTTTAAAACATTTCTTCAAAAGCAGGTACAGGCACCAGTTAGTCAACAATTCTGGTAGACAGGGAGTGGATTACAGACTGTAAGAACTGTAAGAGACCTCCGAGACCATTCCAGTGAAGCCCCCTTCACTTACAGATATACAGTGCAGGTCAGGAGAAACCGTTTGGGATAGGACAGAAAATTAGTTACACACACACACGCACACACGCACGCACCATACAATCATAGAACAGAGTGCCCTTGCATTGCTTACACTGATACTAAGTGTGGAACTAAAAGTAGAACTCTCCCCCTGGTGCTTGTCTAACTAGGGAAACGCAGCATACTCTTACCACATACACTCTGTATTTATGCTCTAGCTCTTCCTCAGTAGTCTCTCACCTTTTGTTTACAAATGCCCGAGTTTTCCTAGGGACAGTTTCACAACAAAGAGCATCCCTCTCACCACCACCATCAGCTCTTCTTCTCTAGTTCCCAAGCACTCATCCATGTCCCAGGACTTCATCACGCACTCACTGTTGAAGTCATGACCAGACTGATTCACTGCCCTTTACAACCTGAAGACTCGGCTTTAGGCTCACTATAATTCTAATACTACCGATTTCCTTTTATTTACAGACAAGCAATATGTAGTCCAGGTTCGCTCCAAACTACAAACCTCCCACCTTGGTCAGCCTCCAAGTGCTGGGATTAAAAACAGGATACACAACCTCTGGTTCTAATTTCTATACTTCTTAAAATCCAGCTCTCTCACTCCAAACCTATAACCACATAACTGATTGTACCCAGAGGAACCTCTCAATCACATGGCCTATACTCATTTTGAATTCAGGACCACTTACCTCACCCAGGCCCATTTAAAGCGACTACATTAGGCTCTACCTCTCACCGTCTGCATGAGAAAAACACCCGTCATTTTCTCTGTTCTATGTAACCCTTGCTTCGGTCGGGCCAGCAGAGAAGTTATTTCTCATAACTTCATTCCTACAGGTACTTCTCTAAGCTTCTTTAGATCAAAACCAATTAAAGGAGATGTCCAGAATCTACTGTTTCCAATTCCTCACCTCCAGTTCTCTTCTAAACCCATCTCAATCAGGTCTTTGTTTCTGTCATTCCAACAAAGCAC